TGATGTTTTCAACACGAAGCTCCTCCAACAGCTTATGATATTCATTGATTTGTTCCTTCACATCCTTGTTCTCGGTCATCTCCCATTTATAGTAGTTGCCCACAACGAACTTTTGTTTACCGGCATCCTCAGCAGTGTACTTTGTAACCAGGGACTCCCATATCTTACAAGCTTCCTTGTAGACACAATAAACATCGAACAAATCATTAGATAAAGTGCTAATGATAGTGTGTCAGCATACCTTGTTTGCATGAGTCCATACAACTCGTTGGCTTGATCAGTATCAGCAGGAGGCTCGGATTGAGCAAGAGCAGCAGCCACACCATGCATGTCAAGGACAGTGAAGACACGTTCTTGCCAGTGTTTAAAGTTCCAGCTATCAAAGACTTCTATCTTTGATATGTCTGGAAACGGCCTCGGTAAAGGGACGGCAACAGCGGCAGGGACGTACTGACCTCTGGCCGAACCACTCGGCACACCCTCGGAAGTGATATTCTCAACACTGTTGGTCGCCATTGGGTTGAATAGTTCTTAAGATTGTTGGCCACACAGGCGGCAGGCATGGATAGCGACACCTGATTGGTTGCTTGAGTCGTGTCCGGAAGGACACTGTCCTTAAGAACTATTCCGGCACACCGTCTGACGGCCGGCAGTTCCCCAGGATTAAACAAGCACCTCCTCAGTAGAACGAGGGAACAGAACAACGGAGACCAAACGTAATCACAGACGTACACAGACAGATTCACAGAGGGAGGAAGAGAGAACCGCGAGGACTCAAGAGGCTTTCTGTATATCGCTCTGTCTGAACCCATGGCTATATATAGCCCGAAGGTGGACATGAACGTTGGGGGGTTACCACCGGTTTAAAAGCTCGATTACAGTCTCATAAAAATTATTTAAAAGCTTGTCTGGAAACGTTGGAGTTACACAAAACGCATTCAACCTCCTGTCTGGAAATGTTGGGAACGTTGGGAAGACAAACATTTAGAAAAAATTAATTTGTTTAATGAAAAAAAATGTTCTTGGTTTAACTTCAAACTCCAGACAGCCAAAATTTGAGTTTCTCCGGCAAGCCAAAATAATTATTTATTTGTAAAAATAATCCGATAAAAGGAACCCACTACCACTTGAACTCGCGCGCAGGGGGGCGAATCGGCTGATTTCAACTGCGATTGCTCTAAGTTGGCCTATCTCATGTGCACGAGGCCACTTCTCTTCCAAGCCTATTTTACTAGCCCATTTCATTCCTTAGTATATATACACTAGGAGAGTCTTTCTTTTAATCAATGTGAGACTTTGACACACACACACTTTTGACACACATACAACAAGGTTAGCTTCCTCATTGAACTAATGGATAGCTAGCTAGGTTCAAATTCCTCATTAAACTAGTAGAACAATATGGATATAATTAACTCAACAAACCATCACACGGATGGGGCCTTACCACATGAATTTTATCATCTACTCCTCTTCCTAAGTGAACTCCCACCTCTCAAGATCATGCAATACATATTCATGCAAATAATTCACACTTTATATGATTTATAGAACTTCACATTTTTAGTTTCATTAAACTTTGTCATTACACAAATCATTAGATTTCTTAGACTCATTTTCATGGAACTTCAAACCAAATAAGTCATTGAACTCTAATTTCACAATCATTGTACCTCACACTTTAAATTTATTGAATTCTACTATTCTAAAAATCATCAAACTTCTTATAAACAAAGATTCATGTTACTTCTCAAATCACAGAGTCATTGAACTCCCAATAAATATAATACGAAAATCCACCAATATTGTTCTCAAAGAATTTCACATCACAAGGCATAAAACTCACAAAATCAATCTAGTGGATTTTCTAACAAATCAAGCCACATTTGCATTTCGTTTTAATTTACACATTTTCATGATCAATCATAAATTCAAAAACTAATAAACGCACAAAAGTATGAGATAAAATTTTTCTAATTATCTCTCTCAAACCTTTGAGAGGTCAAAGGTTTTACCCTTAATTATTCACTCTTAAAGCTTCCAAGAAGTTTGAATGTATCGAAGGTAATTATTGTATAAGTATTTACCATGCAAAACATCGATATTTATTTTTGAGCTATTTTTTTCACTAACACTTCAACATCCCTTAATACTCAAGATTTATTCTTGACTCATGTAAAAGTATCCATAAGGCTTCTGAACTTCTTTTAACCCTCATTAATAATATTGAGCTTTTAAATGATCATTAATGGAACTACATTGTTCCTAACCACCATATTCATGAGAATTTTAGACATTTAATGTCCTCCAACTATCAATCATTATAAAATCATAAATATTAAATTTACTTAGCTCAATCTACTTTCATTAACTCTTTTTAAGTCAATGGGTTTGTACCCATAAACTTCATGGACTGAAAATCACCATTATTAATCAAACCATAACTTCTATCATTAAGAAATTGGAAGAAGAGAAAAAGATTTAAGTAAAAAAGCTTATCTTTAATGTTTATGAGCTCCAAATTACTCTTATAAGTCAATTTCTTCAAGCCCTAGCTCTGCTCTTTCATTTCTCTCTCGGTCCCCTTTGTTTTCTTTTCTCTCTTGCCTCAGTTTCACGATTTAATACACAAAAATCTGACCATCTGTGATGCATGGCACAGAAAGCCTCTCATAGGTGTATGGTCACACATGCGCCATGGTGACTCATCCACAAGTCGCGACACATGACACAGAATCGCTTTCTTAAAAAATCCTTTCTCTTTCATTCCTGGGTGACTCGATTCTCCTTCAAACCCGCGTTTAAAACTAAAATCGAGACCAAACACAACCTCTCTAGCCACACATATCACTAATACACTTAATTAGTTTATTTGAGTTTAATTAACTTGATTTAAAATTGAGGATGTTATAGTTTAACCTAATGGCCACCTTAGAAAGCCAATTTTCTCTCTACTTCTCTCCCGATATGTTTATCTTGTTGATAATATAAATTTTAACAGATGTATATGATATAAAAGAAATAATCTTATAACTTTAATTGCTTAAAAAATTAATTATAACTTTAACATGCCAACATAATCAGCTTTCCAATCAACATATTCATATCTTATAACTTCAACATGTGGCTTGGCAGGGCTGGAGCAAAAAAAAAAATTTGGAGTACCCAAATGAAAAGGCATATATAATAATCGAAGAAAATTTTTATATATAAATATATATATATCACTTACATAATATAAATATTTTATAGATATATAACAAAAATAAATATATACATTCATTTTTTAAGTTTTGCTCATCAATTTTTTATGAGATAAAAATCATTAAATATCATGTCCATGATAAAATGTTTAACAATTTTTTTCTCAATATAAACTATCTTTCCTATGAGCATTGAGGAATGATTTAGATGCATGATTGGGATATAATTTTTTTTAATATAAGAAGCTCTATTATTTGCTTACTAAATTTATTATTTAATTCTTTTAATTAATAATCATAATAAATAAATATATCAATACGGTAAGTATACTCAATTGTCATAAAATCTATATGTCAATTATATCATTTTGTTGTAATACTTGACAAAGTTTGTTAGCAACAATTCTTACAATTTCTTTCATCAAGTATAAAACAAAAGCAAAATCAAATGATATCAATAGTTTAAGAGTATGTGCAGCATTATCTTGCTAAAAATAAGTAAATTTTATAATAATTATCTCTTTAAACTATTAAAATAGTTGTACTATATATACGTAAAAGACTATATATATAATTAAAATAAAAATTTTATCTAATGTCTCAAGATTTTTATAATGTTCTAACTTAAGGTGACCCCCCATCTCCACTCCTATCATTTGGTAAAAGGAAATGTATTACAAAAAAAACTTTACAAAATAAAAGAACATTACTTTTCATGAAAATTATCATAAAATAACTAGTATTAGTTATTAAATTACGTTGTTCATGAATCAACTCAAAGTTGTTCACAAACCAACAAATGGTCAAGGCTTTTAAGTGAAGATTTTCATTACTTGAAAGGTACCTCTTCAAGCTATTAGTTCATTATCTATAAATTAAATACCCCTCACAATCACTTACTTTCCATAATAACATTTATCAATTAAAATCTACTGTCTTTATCTTTGAGTGTACAATGTATAAAGTCAAATTATGACTTAATAAAAGTTATTGTTATTCTAGCTTGAATTTTAGAAGTGCAATTTATATTAAAAAAAGTCGTCATCAACTCAATTTGCACCCAGATATTGAAATGGGTGATGGTGAATTAAACTTTAAAAAAAACTATTACTTATATCTTAAAAACATTCGTGCACAAGTTTTTTTGCCCTCATCTCTACCTTCTTTTACTCCCGCCAATATATCGCACGGTATTGCTTAAAGCGCAAAAATAATTTGATGGAAGTGTGTGTGTGTTTTTGGCCAAATGATGGAAGTATATTTTGATAAATGGTGGGAGCTAAAATTAATAATTTAGAAAAAAATGGTGGTGGTGGCGCCGAGGAAATGGGTCTACATCCTCACCAAACCTTGATTCTTGCTTCATTCTTCCACAATCCATCTTCGTGCGTCAAAAGGCCTTTCTCCCCTCACCAACCACTCCATTCCGCACGCCTCGCCTCTTTATCATTACCGCCTCCCCCATATTTTAATCTTTCCAACATAATTTCTTCTACTTTTTTAATCACTCTATAAAAAAAATCATGGGTTCATTCACAAAACCCGCATATTTATCATATTATTACGATCTATGAAAAAAAAAAACTATTATAATAATACCAATAATTTATACTTACATGATGGTAATGATCCACCCACAGTTTGGGTCGACCCAGTTTACCTGTAATTTCTGTGAGCCCACCAACCGAGCAACTTATCCTCACTCGCCAGTCACCTCCCATCACTCGTCCTCACGTAATTTATTATACTTTATTATTTATATGCCATTTTACAGCATCCATCATTCATTTCACCAACTCCCTCGCTCCCTCGTCATTGTATATATCAACCTATCTCCGAACCCTTAATTAACTCTCTTCTCAACTTTTCCCTCTCCTTCCATGGCGTTGCTCCTCATTTCCCTCTCAATTCTCGCCCTTTTCCTCTGCTACCAGCTCTATCACCGCCTGCGCTTCAGGCTGCCTCCGGGCCCCCGCCCCTGGCCCGTCGTCGGCAACCTCTACGACATCAAGCCCGTCAGGTTCCGCTGCTTCGCCGAGTGGGCTCAGTCCTATGGTCCCATCATTTCGGTCTGGTTCGGCTCTACCCTCAACGTCATCGTCTCCAGCTCGGAGCTGGCCAGGGAGGTGCTCAAGGAGAACGACCAGCAATTGGCAGACCGGCACAGGAGCCGATCGGCGGCCAAGTTTAGCAGGGACGGCAAGGATCTCATCTGGGCCGATTATGGGCCTCACTACGTGAAGGTGAGGAAGGTCTGCACGCTCGAGCTTTTCTCTCCCAAGCGCCTGGAAGCCTTGAGACCCATTCGAGAAGACGAGGTCACCGCCATGGTCGAGTCCATCTTCAAGGACTCCACAAATCCTGGTACGCTATTCGTCCCTGTTACTTCTTGTCTTGCGTGTCTCTTCAATTTTGGTAGTCCAGAGATGATCTGGTTGTTCTTCCACCGCGTTGTGTTTTGTGCCCTCCTCTTTGTGAAACAGAGGAGAAGCAGGGGTTGTTTTCCAACGCTTCACAGTACTTGGTTGATTGATTATATACCAATTATGACACTTCACCTACATTTACAATAATAATTAATATATGAACTCTTCACTTACGGCCATAAAATGATCATCAATATCAATATATATATAAAATAGTATCCCTGTTAAGTTGCTTGCGAGTTATGACTTATACAAAGTTTATCTCTCGAATTTTACACGATTCACAGAGAAAATGTCATATTTAGTGGGGAAGACAGGACACAGTGAAGAAATTAATATGAAATTGTTCATTTCTTTATGGTGAGATTTTATACACGCATTATTGTTTAGAAGTACTTGCAGTAGTAATAATAATAAATGACAGGTGTAAAAATTCCGTGCATAAGGTTCTAAGTGAAAGCACATTTTGTGTTTTGACTTTACACGGCTACCGCAGAGAGTATGTGTGATGTCAGTGTATGTAAACTGGAAATTCTGGTTCCCATCAAGACAAGTGACTTCTCAATAACAAGCAAATAGCGACTTGATTTTTCTGGCTATTTTAGGCGAGATTGTTGCTTCCTCTATGATGAGTGAGGGCTTGTCGCCCGGAATTGCTGACCTTGAAATATTGGACCTTTCGTATTTGTCCTCTTGCTCCAGATTAAGAGTCCTCGGCGGCAAAAAAAAAAAAAAAGAAAAAAGAAAAATTAAGAGTCCTCGTCTTGTTTTCATAAATGTCCTTTATTCCATTATGAAATGAAAGCTCCTCTTTCTCCCCATTGTTGGAATGTCATCTGTGGTTTGTTGGTAGCCTTTCTTTTCCTTTGAAGAGGAAGCCATTGATGAATCCAAGAGTCGTGCCCTTATTGAATTAAGCTTGTTTTACCAAAGATAATACTCCCCCTATCCATAATATAGAGATTTTTTAAAAGTCTTATTTAATTTAAAATATACAGTATTGAATAATTTTTATAACTATATCTTTATTTTATTTATTATTTATTTTAAAAAAATAGTTAATTGAAATTCCAATTATAAATAAGACGTTTAATGAGATTATAATTAAAAAGAGACAATTGTTTAACAAGTAAAGTTTCAGATAGGTTTTTAACGATAGTTAATGTAAAATAAAATAATTATAAACATCCCGTGTTATGATTTTCAACCTGTGTTACAATCCCAAACACCACGATCAACCGTGAATGCTGGTGAATAAATAATTTAGAAATAATTAGGTACAAAGTTCTGATCTCTCTCAGATAGGTTTTGCTCAGAAATCCCGATCGCCCATGTCTCTGTTAGGCGATGCATTAGTTTCTATCTTGTCAGAGTTTCCTGAAGTTCTGCGTGTGATAATAATAATCTGGACAAAGGGTTTTAGAGTTTGAAATTTTTTTAAATCAATCAATCAATCAATTAATTTTGTTGTTGTTGTCCGTACCACCTAAGATGCCCCGGCTAACAATGTTGCAATTATTATTGGATAAAAATTAGGAGGGTTGGTAGCGTTAGTTGGACTTCTTTTTGGGCCAACCGACAAGAGTTGGCGGGACTTACTTATCCCTTTAAACCCACTTCAATATTTGTTTTTTAAATTGCATTTTTACCTTATCATAGTCATTTTACTCCACTTTGGTAAAAGAGGTTGATTTTTGGACAAAAAAAAAAAAATTGGCCCCACAGAAAATGAGGGGAAAAATGTGATGGTGAAAAAATACCTGGGAGCAGTGGCATTCAACAACATAACAAGGCTGGCATTCGGCAAGAGATTTGTGAACTCGGAGGGGGTGATGGACGAGCAGGGCGTGGAATTCAAGGCCATCGTGGCCAATGGCTTGAAGCTCGGCGCATCTCTTGCCATGGCCGAGCACATCCCCTGGCTCCGATGGATGTTCCCTCTCGAAGAGGAGGCTTTTGCCAAGCACGGCTCTCGCAGGGATAGGCTCACCAGAGCCATCATGGAAGAGCACACCCAGGCTCGTCGGCTCTCCGGCGGCGCCAAGCAACACTTCGTTGACGCCCTCCTCACTCTGCAGGATAAATATGACCTCAGCGAAGACACTATCATTGGTCTTCTCTGGGTATCTCCTTCTCTTTTTAATTTTAAGCTTTGCTTTTTTGTTTGTTTTTTAAATGATATCGATTTTTAATTATCATCTCTCTTCCCCTCCTTTTTGCATATAGGACATGATCACCGCGGGCATGGACACGACTGCAATATCAGCGGAGTGGGCCATGGCCGAGCTGATTAAAAACCCCAGGGTGCAGCAGAAGGCCCAAGAGGAGTTGGACCGGGCTGTCGGGTTCGAACGGGTCATAACTGAGTCCGACTTCTCCAGCCTTCCTTACCTGCAGTGTGTGGCCAAGGAGGCCCTGCGGCTGCACCCTCCAACTCCGCTCATGCTCCCGCACAGGGCCAACGCCAACGTCAAGATTGGTGGCTACGACATTCCCAAGGGGTCCAACGTCCATGTCAACGTGTGGGCCATAGCACGTGACCCGGCTGTCTGGAAGGACCCGCTGGAGTTCCGACCCGAGAGGTTCCTTGAGGAGGATGTGGACATGAAGGGCCATGACTTTAGGCTGTTGCCGTTCGGAGCGGGTCGTCGGGTATGCCCGGGCGCACAGCTGGGAATCAACCTGGTGACTTCCATGTTGGGTCACCTGCTGCACCATTTCTGTTGGACCCCACCGGAAGGAACAAAGCCGGAGGAGATTGACATGTCAGAGAACCCTGGGCTGGTGACCTACATGAGGACCCCACTTCAGGCCGTGGCCTCCCCTAGGCTCCCCTCTCACTTGTATAAACGCGTGCCCGCCGAGATCTAGCTCGTGAACCAGCTGCCCTTGCTGCTTTCCAGCACTATCATTATAAGTCAGTACCAGGATACATGGACATCCTTAAGACTGGTTTCGATTTGTCTCCTTCTAAGTTTTGCACTCAACTTTCTATAAAATCGCTGTTTTGAAAAGTTGTAAAACATGAAATGAAACGATAGAGTTACATTCCAGTGTTGAGGCAAAGCTGATCATTGTTCTGTAGCTTGTTCAGATGTAAAGAGAAGCGTGTGGCAGCACGAGGTATTGATATCCAATTTCGGCTGGATTCTTGTATGTAATAAAATGGTGCATTGAGAAATATTACGGGCGAAGCCAGGACCCATGACCAAGTATATATTTACAAATGGGATATGGACAAGGGGAACATTACGAGTGTACTTTGTAATTTGTATACAAGTGGACATGAGAAACATTAAAGACAATTTTACTTCTCTTCCCTTTTAATGATAAAAGACAGTTTTCAATTTCGTGCTTAGAGGAAGAGGAAGAGCATCATTCAAACGGATTCAATGCAAGTCATAATCCATTCGGGACTGATCTTGTTGCATCTGGCTCAAATAAAACTTTCCTCCTCCTAGCTGCTTATTTACTACGATGCGGAACCTCTCTTTTCCAATTCCCCTCCTAATCTTCAGAATCAAGTTAAATTTGACATCATCTTTAACAACCTGCATCAAGCCAACGCATGGGGATAAGAAAGAGATTAGCAAGAACCAAAACCAGCAGAAACAAATGAAGAACAATGCAGATAAGTAGCCGCGTTAACAACTGAACGCTTGAAAACCAGGAGAAGGGCGACAGAACGCTTAAAGACAGGAAGAATGTGATCGACAGAATCAGACTAGTAGCATGGAGACAAAGAGTAGGACTTCTGGCAATAAACTTAACATAACTAGCTGCCTCTTTGACATCAGGGTCATGTATTGGCACATCACGCCATCCTAATCTGTGTCCATCTTAAAAGTGCTACCAACTTTCAGAAACATAATACCTGTCATATTTATAAAAAATACAAAGAAAAGAGCATGTTTGGCATCTAATTTTTAAGATACAATGTCAATTCTATTGTGAAAATTTTCATGAGCTTCCAGTATTTAATTACAACTCACAAGGAACAAACATGGCATAATACTGACGTGCAATGAGTGGTGGAAGGAGGGGGGACAGGCTATGCCCCTTAAAAAATAAAAAAGAACAGTTTTTGGTGTTTTCTTTGAACTATGATATAGGTATCATACATCTCCACGCCATGGAAATTTATAATAACTCCGTCTTATATGTGTTTTTCAATCTCACCCCTCATCATGTCTCAATCAATCCTGACAATGCCCCTCTATGCACTCACTACTACGGAGAAAGGACAGAGATATACAAACCAGAAGCAGCTAGTTACCTAGTTTAACACCAAGATCTGAAGTTGTAAAGGGAGAGACGTCTCGAACATGCTTGAATTCCTTCAACTGCTTGTAGTTCATCCATGGCTTCACCCAGACTTTAGCTTCGTATATTTCCCTTTTTCCCGCATCACTTGCTTCCATTGTAAGGAGGTATGACTTTCCAGCTACCACCTGTTCTTTGGCTTCCAAGACCCGGGCAAACTCAAGAAGCGAATTCTGCTTTCAAATAAATAAATAAATACATAAATAACAATCGTGCATGCAGCTAAACAATTGATTTAATAATCTGGGAGCGGGTAGGTGTTAACCTGGCAGGCTAGGACACGATCGCCCACCGATTTCATCAGACATGAATGAAGAAGGACACACATAAATCAGTATGTAGGGAAAGAACTAAAAATCTTTATTTTCCCCCTCTATTTCCACTTACGAACTGCAAAATAAGATATCATTTCAAATTATCTCAATTTTTATAATTGATACAAAAAGTATTTCTAAACGAAGCGGGAGACAAGAAAGAACATTGGGGAACAAGGGTATCGGTGCAAAGGGGGGGGGAATCTAGCGGGAGAAGTCTTAATTAACAATTACAAAATAAAAAAGATTACCGAACAAAGAAAAATCCCGAATTCCTAGACTTCGATTAATTATTAGAGAACCGCAAAACTGGAATCAAACCCAGGATCTGATCATTCGGGAGAAAGAGAGGCAAGATATAAAACAAAGAAAATACCTCTTCCTTGTTGTGCTCTTCAATGGCGAAACGAGCAAGGTTGTCGATCTCGACGCTGTTACGAGCGCCGTCGATATCGTGAACCCCTCCTAATTTCATCCCAATGAATTTGTCACCTCTGGTGCAATAACCAAATTCAGACAAACCACAGAGAATAAGGAGAGCACCAAGCAATAGCACAGAAACAGAGGAGCTAGGGAGCTTCATCATCACCGCTCAGTTCTTCGCGGCGATGATCGTTCTTTGAATGTCGGTTCGCAACTCCCAAACTTTGCTGTTTAGGAGGTCTTTCTGTGTGTTTTCTTGGTAAGTAAGAAAGGCCTTGGGCCAAAAGGTCATGATGTAAGCTACCTAATGAAAGTAGTTCATTTAACTGTGGATTGGGCTTTGATGGGCTTCTTCTATTCTTTTTTCACCTACGCAAGTTCTTTTTTGACCAGTTAAGTGATACCTGAAAATTTAACTTTTAATAATTTACAATGTGAGGACGGAAAATGAGACTTCAACCTTCGTATTCATAACAGTGACAAAAGTCGAAAAATTAGTTTTCGTGAAAGTCTCTCGTTGAGGCTGGCTGGTGGCCGCTTTCGTGTGACATCAACTGTTCTGATAATTTCCATCTAGAAATCTCGCCGGTCAACGTATTGTGATCTGGCACAAAAAAAAAGTGTTGAAATAGTTTTTTGCAGGAATTATAATTATAAATTATAAAGTTTAGTATAAAATGAGGTCCGTAACCTGATTCAGTATTTTAAATGATTCGAAGTCTAAAACAATCAGATCAGTGGGAAGCTTTTTTTTTTTTTTTTTAAATACAAGCTATTACAGCGAATATTCCATTATTACTCATTTGGTCGAGTCGAGCCCGCTTGGTCATTCTGATTACTTTCTTACCCTAATATTTCATCACATATCATACACGTGCCACTTGCTCGTGGTTTTACTCTGTTAATTTCTTGTGCTTCTTTTTGTTGACAACTTTTATTTAGCTCGATTCGTGTAAATGGTGGAGGTTTTTATCCTGAGAAGTGAAAATAAATCATATTTATATAATTTAACAAAAATATTATTTTTATTTAAACTAAAATATTATGTTGTTTGGTATTGCTTTATGCAACCTTTGGTATAGAGAAGTGTTTTGAGGGAAGTGAAAGTGGAATTGGAAATGGAAGTAAAAATAAAAATGAGATTGATATTTTATTTAATATTATATTTATATTTTGAAGAGATTAAAAGAATCTTAAAAATTTTAAAATCTCCATTTAACCACGAGCCCTAAAGCAAAAGGCATGGATGGAAAAACCATCATCTAGGAGAAAAAATTGAGAAGGATAATTACAATATTCAATCAACAAAGTATTCAAATATAAAATAATAAAAATCAGACTTCGTAAAACCAAGTCTACAAATAAAAATCATGGAACACATTCAAATACAAATTTGCGACCCTCGAGAGAGGATGGAGACCCGTAACCCATAACCGAGTGAATGCTAAAGTGACCCAGAGCAAGATCCATGTGCAGGAGAAGAATCCAAAGAAATTGATGATGATTATCCCATGCTTTTGAACACACATTTAAACATGGCCAGCTTTTAGAAGAACCCATATTTTCAAGTATTTGATGGTTCAAGCTAGAACAAGAGTAAGGTGGAGGAGAAGAAGAGAGAGAAGGGGTCAGAGAAGAAGCACTCCCAAACGGGGATTTCTCTATCTTGATGCATCCCAAATCTACACTGCAACCCAGAATCATAACCATTGTCACTGTTGGAGTCTTGTTGTCGTTGTGGCTGGAGGATCGTTACTGGTGGAGGTGGAGGGTTAGCAAGGACAAGTGAGGACATGGAAAGAGGGAACGAGAAGGTGGGGGGTGAAAGAGTCTAATCGAGGTAAGGAACTCACTTCCATAAATTTTCATGAAATTGAGTTCTACTGAGAATTCGCTTCCATAACACCAAACAGGAAAAAATATGGATTATGCTTTCATTGCCACTTCTTTTCATATAATTTCGTGCTACCAAGAGAACAATCATATATACACTCTTGTTGGAGCGAAGCTAGAAAATTTTGTTTGGGAGGATCAAGGTGATAAAGCATACATGAAATCAAAAGAAAATTATATATATACATAGATCCACACACATGCACGCGCGCGCATGCATTTATTTATCATTAACATAATATAAATATTTCAACCTTTATATTTATATTTAATTTTACACATACAATGTAACAAAAATAAATATACATTTTATTTTTTAAGTTTTACTTATTAATTTTTTATAGCACAAGAATAATTAATTATCATGCTTAGGATATAATTTTTAGAAATTTTTTTTTCAATATAAATTATTATTAAATTAATAAAAATTTTATTTTTTTTCAAAAGTATTGAATGATTTGAATATATCATTGAAATCTAAAATTGTATTTAGTCCAAAAAACTCTATTACTTGTTTGTTGAACTCACTATTTAACTATTTTAATTGATAATTATAGTAAATAAATATATCAACACAATAATAATACTCAATTGTTACAAAATTTTTATGTTGATGAGATCTAAGTGTATCATAATAAAAACTATTTATATAATAATAGCTTAACCATGTATTAACTTTTGAATAAGTAATTTTATAATAGATATCAAGTACATAACATTCAATATATTTTAAAAATTTTGCTACAATGCTTAATAAAGTTTGTTGGTAATAATTTTCATAATTTCTATTACTTAAATATAAAATGAAAGCAGAATCAAATAATATCAATGCTTTGAGAGTGGCTATAACATTATTTTGTTAAAAATAAATATATCCTATAATAACTATATCTTCAAGCTACTATAATAATTTGACTATACATGCAAAACAAATTAATATAAAGTTAAAATAAGAATTTCATATAATATTTTAAGGCTTTTGTAATATGCTAACTCGAGAGGGTTGAAAATATATAACTCTTATACTTTATTAAAAAAAATATAAAAAATTATGAAAGGTTATGGCTCCTTTTAATAATCCCGTCTCCCCTCGCCATTGCAAAATTTGTCAATGTGAAGGCTACAATAGTTTGCGAGACAAGGATAGAATTAATGTTGAAGATTTTTATATAATTTTTTAAGTGAAAAAAGACATGTATAAATAGTTTGGATAAATTGATTTACTGATCATAAAAATCTTGTATTAACAAAATATGAATTAAATTTAAAAAAAATTGAGAGCATGATCAATTTATTTTGATGTATAAATAGTTTATCATTTAAAAATTTATAAAAAATTTATTATTAATATATAATGATATATTATTGATAAATATAATAAATAAATTATAATATAAAATATAATAAATATTAAATTATTTTTTCAGTTTGATCTTGAGTTGTGTTTCAAATATTTTTTTTATAACATATGACCAGTATAATTATTCGCTCACAACTTTTAATAAGAAAATCTAAAAATTGTTTTGACTGAATCACAGTGACAAGCAAAAGCAACTTTTGTTGGTTTCCTGACAAGTTGTTGCTACCAGATTGGGGAGGAGAAGAGGGAGAGAGAACACGAGGCGGCCAAACAGAGGCCAGCCGGAAACATCTGCAACGCGAAATTTCCATTGCCAAAACATAATACAACAACGGACCCCCTCTTTTCCGTATTTCGCCGTCTCTTTCTATTTCTAATCTTCCTCTGCCACAGACCTCTCAGGCTCTCACCCCCTTTATATTTTTTTCGTCCTCCCCATCTCCCTTATCCTGTTCTTCCTGTAGCCACGACCACGAGAAGGTGCTCTGAAAGAGATGGGCTTAGAGATTATGGTGCCCAACACGTGCATTAGGGGCTGCTGTACCAGCACTTCTATTCCTCTTCATGTTCCTCCTTCCTCTTTTACTCTTTTATCTCCAATTGCCAAAGGTAAACGCTATTCATTTTTAAGCTCTTGCCGTTTCCCAAGTTCTGACTTGCTTTTCTCTCTCTTATTTTTTTAGTAAGAAATTGGGGTGGCTTGCAAGAGATACCGTAGAAGGGCGTATCTTTAATGTCAAATGTAGTTTTTTTTTTTTTAAGACTTACGGCTTTACCTTCTTGTCATCGGAGTGGTGAGATGATGTTTTGATGTTTGATCTGCTACTTATTTCAATTCAGCATACGTACATGTTTCTCAATTGAAAATGAATAACAACTTTGCCTATAATGGCAATCATAGGGGCGGAGAGTGTTGTTTACGAAGGGACTTTAGATGGCAACAAAGTTGCTGTGAAGAAACCTATCCTGTCAACTACAGAAGATATTAACAAGTTCCACAAGGAATTACAACTGTTATGGTCTCTCTCCTCCTCTCTCTCACGCTAAATCTTCCTGTTTATATGATTCCATCAGTCTCTATGTATGTTTTGAGCATCTTATGAGCGTTACCCTCATCTAAAACATTTTGTCATCTTCAATGATATTTATTAGGCATGCAGTTTTCAGTTCTTACTTTTCTTTTTCTTAAATAATGCAGCAAGTTAGATCACCCGGGAATAGCAACACTGATTGCTGCCCATGCAAAGCCGCCCAATTACCTCTTTTTCTTCAAATTCTATGAATCTCTCAACCTTGCACAAAAGTTACACTTGGAAGAATGGACTCCGAGCATCAATTACGCACTCATGATAATAATTCAGTTAGGTATAGTTAAGATTTTGTTTTGTTTATAATTTACTTTCAACATCATACTTATCTAAAGTAGTTGTTTGATTGATCAGCTTATGGGTTTGAAGGTCATATCGCCAGAGCTACGGAGTCTTATGATCTGCATCAAAAGTTCTTTTACCAAATAGCAGGACATTAAATTTCTTGGACTTATTGGGCTATAAACAGAAGTTTAAATAGGATAATTGGAAATAGATTTATAAGTTCTTTGCATTTACTTTTCTGCGGTAATTATAACTGTCTTATATTTGTTTTCTTGAAAAGGTGCCTGTCTGGTAGGTGTTCACTTTTCACTTTTCAGCCCAAAATTGATAACTAGCATAAGCGAGACTATCAGAACATTTATAATTTTTTGACGACTAGCATATAAATCCATCTGCAAATTTGATATTAATTTCTCATATCATGGAATTCACTGTTATATTTATCAAATTTGATTGGTTATTGGGCATTGTAGCTTCCTTTAGAAAACTTGATTAAATATATGAAATTATATGCAAGAAATGGCCAAATAAGGAAATTGCAAAAGTTAAAAATTGTGGAAAATACCGACAAATTTTGATAGGGTATAGTTTGCTTCAAACTGCTATCCAACTAT